TCGCTGGTGCTTTCTTACAGAGGGATCTCTTGGTTCCTGACCTGCCCTTTGATGCCCTTCCAGGACGCCCTGCGGTTCTGTCTGCCACTTGGGGAAAGCCGCTCCCCCAGCAAGGAAGGCGCATAGCGGCATTTACCTCCGGCGTGTTTGCCCCCTACCCGTGACACTCCACAGATGCTCGAGCATCCCACATTTCAGAGAACTTCCAAGATTGTGACAGACGTCCAGGAAGGGCTCTTACTTTTCCTTTTTCGGGAGGGGGGGCTCACACGTGACCCGTCGGTGATTAAGAAGAGGGTGCCTCTAAGCCTATGCGGTCCTCATTCCTTGCCGCTCAACTTCCCCACACCCGCTTCAAAAACTTGGAACAGCTGTCCTGAATGTGGAATTGTGTCTTTTATCTGATTAGAGATCACAGCATATGATGCTCCCAGGCAACATGCAGGCAGGGGAGGGACGACTCATTTTCCATATTTGCAGTGCAGTATAGTGTTTTCTTTTTAAATTCCCTGCTGCCACCAGAGGGCAGTGTGAGACCAACCTTGGGGGGGGGCTCCTTTTCCTGCTGTGGGTCCAGAGCACTCGGAGTGCGCTGTGCATCCTAGCCCAGTGCAGATTCTGTCTCCTGAAGAATGCTCTTTCTCCCTCCCTTGCCACACATTTCCCAGGCTCTGGGGATGAAGAACAGAAGTGTCCTTCAGCTGTATCCCCAACAATGGGGGTTCAGCTGTCTCTTTCCTCCTCCTCCCGCCTCTAATCCATTCCTGACACCCCTCCTTGTGCGATCCTAAGCATGGTTTGTTTGGGGTCTGCCTGATGGACCTCGCCATTCATTCTGCAATGGCTACAGTGGCTGATCCTTTCACACTCCCAATATTTGAAATGTTTTAGGGCATTCCATGGCGTCATAGCTTGTCATAGCTTGTCTATGGCAGTGAATGGGCTCGGAGACAACTACCAGTGGGTAGCTAGGTAGGTGTGTGTGTATGTATGCATATTGTTTACTTTTATAACGGTGGTTCCTTTTGTATTTAGTTTTCTAGGTACTGTATGATGGGTGTATAGGGTACAGGCTTCATAGCTTGTCTATGGCAGTGAATGGGCTCAGAGACAACTACCAGTGGGTAGATAGGTAGGTGTGTGTGTATGTATGTATATTGTTGTTTACTTTTATAACGGTGGTTCCTTTACTTTTGTATTTACTTTTCTAGGTACGATGTTGGGTGTATAGGGTACAGGCTCGTAGCTTGCGGCATATGTATTTTTCAGAGAACCGAAAGAGTAACTTTCTGTTACTTTTAAATAACAAGGAACTCACTTAATCCGTATTGGAAGGTGGTTCTCAAGTTGAAAAGTTCTTATGTTGAATCTGCATTTCCCATAGGAATGCATTGAAAACCATTTAATCCGTATCTGCTCTTTTCCGTCCATAGAAACTACTGTACTTTTAAATAACAAGGAACTGAAAATGTTACTTTCCGTCCATTGCAACAATAGTAACTCACAACTAGTGTGTGTGGGGGAACTAGAACTGAAATTTAACTACCTGTTTTTAAAAAGGAATGGAGGTGTTGAGGGGTTATAGCCTTCCTTCATCCCAGGGAGGAGGCTAATTTAATTTTTCCGTCCATAGAAACTACTGTACTTTTAAATAACAAGGAACTGAAAATGTTACTTTCCGTCCATTGCAACAATAGTAACTCACAACTAGTGTGTGTGGGGGAACTAGAACTGAAATTTAACTACCTGTTTTTAAAAAGGAATGGAGGTGTTGAGGGGTTATAGCCTTCCTTCATCCCAGGGAGGAGGCTAATTTAATCCCTGAGATGTTTTTAGGAAGCCCCACATCCTGTTCCCCCCCCAAGAGCCCCCTAAACTGACAATGGCAGCCTCATAGGTACGCTGTAGAAAGTTGTGTGTGTCAGTGGCTGCTTCAAAATGGGCCTTTGTTTCCCTTCCAAATTTTTTTGGTATGAAATGGTTTGTCGCCGTGTTTACTTGAATTTTTTGACCTGGACGATGTCTGGAAAGAGCTGCTTGTGAGGGGTTATAGCCTTCCTTCATCCCAGGGAGGAGGCTAATTTAATCCCTGAGATGTTTTTAGGAAGCCCCACATCCTGTTCCCCCCCCAAGAGCCCCCTAAACTGACAATGGCAGCCTCATAGGTACGCTGTAGAAAGTTGTGTGTGTCAGTGGCTGCTTCAAAATGGGCCTTTGTTTCCCTTCCAAATTTTTTTGGTATGAAATGGTTAGCCTTCCTTCATCCCAGGGAGGAGGCTAATTTAATCCCTGAGATGTTTTTAGGAAGCCCCACATCCTGTTCCCCCCCCAAGAGCCCCCTAAACTGACAATGGCAGCCTCATAGGTACGCTGTAGAAAGTTGTGTGTGTCAGTGGCTGCTTCAAAATGGGCCTTTGTTTCCCTTCCAAATTTTTTTGGTATGAAATGGTTTGTCGCCGTGTTTACTTGAATTTTTTGACCTGGACGATGTCTGGAAAGAGCTGCTTGGATACCTCTCTCCTCTTTCCATCGTCTCCGAGGGGCCTTTTGCGGGCATTGATCCCCCCTGCCTTCAAGACGTTTACAACTGAACTCCTGTCGGTAGCTTTCGCCTTGTGTGTAGCTTTTCCCAAATGTTGTCTGACGTTTGCCCCCTTTTTTTATACTTGTAAACATTTTCTGTTGACGGAGGAGCCTTCCCCTCCCCAAAAATTAAAAAACAACTCTGAAACAAGCCAGAAATCAGCTGCTTCGTTGAATTATTATCATAATGTATTTTTTTTAAAAAAACAGGTGCACCATGCGCCTTAAGACACTCAGAAACAGCTATGCTGTCCGGGGCAGATGGGAACTGGAGTGCAATGTCAGGGAGGCCACGTTGCTTTCCTTCTGCTGAGATAAACCCATTGTGCAAAATTAATAACGGGATGAAAGCTGGGTTTGAGCAAGATATTGAGAGAAAGAGGCATAACACATGTTTCGGGAGCTCAAAAAGGAACGGGGGGGTGAGCAGTCTGAGCAGATCTCATTTTTCTGCATCGCCTGCAAAAGCAAGTGTGTTTTTTTTCCCAAAGCACGGACGTCGTTTAGCGCCGCCTCCACTTAAGGCAGCTTGCCGGCACTGCCTCCTTTCCCACCTTTCTGCCCCAACAAGCTCTTTCTTGGCATGGGCAAAGGAGGTGCCAGCCCACAACCCAGAGACCGGATCTCTCTGCCAAGAACAGCTTCTTTTCTTTCAATGTCTGGCACTCCTAAATTTGTGTCTTATTTTGCCTTTCTGGCAGCAGGACTCTGTCTTAGAGTGGGGGGGGGGATCACAAAAAAATAAAGCATTTGCGTAAAAGACGCCGGCTTCCCTTCCCTGCCTCAAGTAGAGTTGGGTGATCCGTTCTCTGCAATAGTTGTTTTTTTTCCCCCATTAGAACGACATTCAAACAGGATTCAGCCATTTCTGTCCTGCAAAACCGTTGTCATAAGCATCGACCTTTGGTGCAGGCAGATGATTGCTCCAGCTAGGCCAGGATAGTCTGGGCCAGATTCCCCAGCCTCCTGATGTTTTGGACTACAACTCCCATCATGCACAGACAATGCAGGCGTCCCGCCTTAGAGTGTGATTCCGTTTCATCCTTGCAGGAAAGCCAGCCCAGGACAGGGTGGAGGAGTTAAGAAACAGAGACGTGCGTCTTCATTTTTCTTCTTTATCTCCTTTTTTGTTTTGTTGGAGGAAACACGACTTGTCCTCTGAACTTTGGACTGCACAGGATGTCCCTGGGCTTACCTGGGCTTCTAATCCGACCGAGCTGTGGAGCCAAGAAGGTTTTGGCTCAAGGATGCTTCCGCCTTCCATCGGAGCGGGCAAGGAAAACACAAAGCAGGGACCTCTTGTGACTGGTTTTGCCGCTTTCCGCTGAAATCTCTCCCGTTTTTTTGGCACCAGGGCTGTGCCACCCGGGGCCGCCCCAAGAATCTCTGCTGCCTGAGGCAGAGGGCAAGAGGGACCCAGAGTGGCTTGTTCCCTTGTGTACGTCACAAGGATGAAGAATCGGTCTTTCTTCCTCCCCTGAACAGGATTTTGTTTTCGAACTCAGTGCTTTGAAGTCTCTTCTCCATTTTCCATTCAAGGGCTTTGAAGTTCCCTTTTGGGTTGGACGGAGAAAACCTTTCCTTGCCCCTGGGGTTTTCACTTCCTCTGTGGATCGCCCCCGTTTTTTTTGTTTTGCTGTAACCACAAGGCGTTCCTCCTGATGGTGTGACTCATGGGCTTCT